TGGAGTAGAAGATGTAACACCTGATGTTGAACTAGAAGGTAGACTTTCCTGAACTTGTTCTGATAGTGCAGTAGAGGAAGAATCATTTTCGAGATATTTAGCTTTTAATTCTAAGGCTTGTGCTCTATTATTTTCTAATACTTTTATATGGTCTTCAGCAATTTTCCTATTCTCATGGTATTTAGCCATTAAATCTTTAGCTTTAGTTTCATCATTATGATATATTGTTATATTGCCTTGAAAAGTTCTGGAATTATATGCAATATTTCATAAAGAAGCTAAAGAAGATTTAGGAATGACATAGTTTAAAGTTTCAATATCTTTTGTAGTAGCCTCTACTATACTTTCCAGTCTTGCAAGGTTCATTTTTCTGTCTGCATCTTCACCATCCATAGCACTGTATACTTTACTTTCCTGTTCAGCCAAATACTGATCTTTATCATTTGCTCTGTTTTTCATGTAATCAATTAAGCGTGTATTATGTGTAATTCTTGCATGCTCGTGTTGATTAGCTTGAATTTCTTGCAAACGATCCTCATTAGCTGAATAATCTGTTTCCAATACACTTACATTTCGCTCTAGATCCTTTTTGTCACTTATCTGTGGTAGATGCAAGGCATTAGTAGAGCTTATTGACCTTACAGTCTTAGGCATATTGTTGTTTGTAGAAGTAATTTTTCTTTTTGAAAAGTTTATATTTTTACTTGAACCGTCATTTTTGCGATCATTGCATAGAGCATTCAATTGATTAATCAAACAGATATGAATAATATTACTAATTAACAAACTTTTCATATAAAATGAAAAATTGCTGTAAAAGACTTTTATGTCGTATACAACCGTACATAGATTGTAATTAAGGGTAATAGTTTATTGTATGTATTATACTGAAATATATATCTAAAAGCTATATAACTTTTTGTTAAAAACTTTTTCTTATGATATATAACCTTATTAAAGACTTGAACTTTAATCCTGAAATTAGGAGTTTCCTGCTTTACCATTAAGCTAATAAGATTTTAATAGGGTTTTTTTTTTTTTGTAAGTGAATAGTGTAATTTGTCATAAGCTGGCTGTGTATGTAATTGCACTAAACTATTTTCAATCAGGCTTAAACCGGCAACTCCCGCTTTACCGTTAAGCTAACAAGGTTTTAAGTGGTTTTTTTTGCACTTATCTTGTTAACTACCAATTTTTATAACAAATCCTTTAAGGGTTATATACCATGACTTCAAATAAACAAAAAAAAAATAACCTATAACTTAAGGTTTTTTTTTAATTTGTTTAATTGAATTTAATAATAATTAACACGATACTAATATAGATGTAAACAAAGAAAAACCTAACTCTTTATTGAGTGATTATATTTTATAAGGGATTTTTCTTTACCCTTACTTTAGGGAAACCAGACTATTATATACTCACGTTTACACCAGTTTATTATGTATATATAATACAAAATAACCTACGATTAGCATGTGTAAAGCCTTTGGGCAGCGTTCAATCAGAGCCATCATCAAACTCAATAATATATTAATACAAACCTTATTAAACTAATTGTAAAAAAAGCATTTTTTATTATTTTCGTTAATTTAAGATTTGCTTATTTTTTTTTTCTAATTTTGAGCTACATCCACCTTTTTGTTAAGTTATCTTTATGTTGGAGTGATTCGAACACTCAATAGTAAATACCAAAAATTTATGACTTACCGATTAGTCTACAACATATTTTTTTAACACAATTTTCTTCAATTTAAAAGTAACATTTATCATTTAAAATTGTATTTTTCGTAATGTATTTACTTACGCTACTAGGAGATAGACCCACATATTTAGCAGCATCCTTAATCGTTTTAAGTCTTTGAACTAAATTATGTGATTTATCGTATATACAAGTTGTGGCACCTTTAGTTTTGAGTTTAAGTTTATCAATAGTTTCTTTACAAGAGGTTTAGACTTAGAAATAATACGATTACCGTAAACCTTTCCTGTGCGGGAAGAAGAAAATTTAATTATACTTTTCTTAGTATGTTTGTAACCCAACATAGATCTTGCAAATTTGTTTATGTTAGGGCTAGGTAGATACTTGTGCAAGTAATATTGCTGTCTGTCTAATAATAGTTTTTTATTCAAAACAATGTCACAGTTATACGTAGGAAAACTTACTTGTTCAGTTATACCAAACTGTATATTATCTCACCCATGCTTAATAACTAAGTTATAAAATTTACTATTGTTACTTTTGTATATTGAGCATCTGTACCTATGTTGTCTGAAACGCTGTGCAACATTAACAGCTGAATCTACATATACTTTGTTTTTATCTAACTTTAACCGATAAGCATATATACCAGGCCCTTGTAACAAGGATTTATTATCCCCTTTTCTAACAAACCCTTTTTCATCTAAATTATATCATATTATTTCTTCCATGTATAGGTAACAAGATTTGAACTTGCACAGTTATAAAACCATTCCGTCCTAAGCGGAACCTGTCTACCAATTCCAGCATACCTATTTTTTTTCCATTTTTTTTTTATTTTTTTTTGTCTATTTTTTTTATTACTCTCTAGAACGGGACAATAATTCAATATTCATACATTCAT